ACTCGCGCCACGTTACATTTTCTGAAATTGAGACGTTTAAATGGTTTATTGGTTAGGGCTTTGCCAATATCAGTCGAAAAGCTATATGATACCAACAGTGCAGGATGATGGGCATCCAAACGACTCAATGGATCACATTCCTCCACACTGATTGCGTCAGTCGTTCTCAAAACAAGATCTAGTTGTCGATTATTCTTATTAATGACGTGATTGTATTGCAATAAACCGCATAAGTCAATTGTTTCTAATAAGAAGTGGGACTTGCGATCAGTAGGAGAGGATGGGATAAGATTTGAGATGCCAGCAACGCGAGTCCATGTAACATTAGGAGTATTGTAGTCGCCAATACAAATAAATCTGTCATCGTTATCTGACTTTAATATTATATTTTGAAATTCAAACCCGTTCAAGAGTAAGAGGGCTGATCCGAAAAGACTATTTATAACACACAACACTATATGTATTCCACGTGATCCAGTCAAATAGATTCGAAATAAGGTAGACAAATTTGAAGAAGTCATGTTACTTCTGTGCACTATCACTTATTTTGAATCCATATGCTTTATTATATTATATTATATAATGTTAAATTATTTAGTTTCACCTTGCCGATTCTCGACTTTGTGTCGGTCGCATAAATATCCCGTCCTACATCCCGTAAGAAAAAGGATATCAATGTTATATTATATTATGTTGTGTTGTGTTGCGTTGCGTTGTGTTGCGTTGCGTCGCGTCGCGTCGCGTCGCGTCGCGTCGCGTCGCGTTGCGTTGCGTTGTGTTGTGATGTGTTATGTTATATTATATTTCTATTCTATTCTTTTCTTAGGATTCTATTAAATCTATGTTATATATATTTCTCGTACCAAAATTTTCATACACCATTGAGCAGAATAGAAAAACGAGAGAGAGAGACAAAATACACTGTTGCCAGTCTGAAAAGTTGTTTTTTAAAAGTTGCCTTGAAGAAATTACGTTTAGTAAAAAGGCCGCCATTTACGCATTTTGATTGATTGTATCCAATTGTGTTGTCCTATATTGGTGTACAATAGAGCATATTTCATTCAACTTTGTTTGCCTAGATATCATTGAACTTCTTTCTCTACCTGACATCTATTGGACATTAACGTACGTAAATATAAAAAGGTCATATCTAGACATTTTACAATCTAATTTTATTTCCTTTTAAGTAGGTTTATTTCCTTTTATTTACAACAGCGGACAGAAGGAGTTCCATAACTAGTCTATTAATTTTCCAACTACTGGGGCTCGGGAATTCTTTATGGATGAAATCGAAGCAAACCGAATCGGAGAATGGGCCATGAGCCACCACGCGCACGGGCCCAGTGTGGATTGGTGGGTCTTAATGATAGCAGCCAGGACCAACGTGTCCAACGTGCTTTTCGAAGCACAGATAAACTCGTGAGAATAAATATTTGGTCATTCATTCTCGCGTTATCGAGTAAAATGAGTTAAAAAGAGTTTAAATTTAATGCAGACTTCTACGGAACATTGCATTGTCATAGTATACATGTTCATAAACTTTCATATTTCCTCATTTCCTTATGGATGGTTAAGGAGGATGGGCCATGAACCTCCACGCTGGCCCAATGCGGATTGGATGGTATTAACGACTGCAAAAGTAGCCGGGACGAACGGCTTAACGTACCTTCCGAAGCACGAGATAATATTTTTTTGGTCACCTATCCCGTGACCGACCCTTGCGAAAGTTGCTGAACAACAATGATTGCGGGCCGCGGCGCTTATCCTCTACGCCACCGAGCTACTTCATTTTATACAAAAGCTTATTAAAAGTTAAGCTCAACATCTATAGGAAATTTGCCATTTCTCACTTTGTATTTTCTCTCCCAACGGTTTGGTCTTGTAAGTTTTTCTCGATAGTTTACTCAAGAGGAATTTAGTAAAAGTTTTTTATATATAAAACTCCGACGCCCTTATTTTAGTTTCAATTGAGTTAACGTAAGCGTGATGACAATGTTTTGGTCTGATAAAAAAAGGTTTTAAATGTACTAATGCTATGACAAAACTAGAAGAGTTTTTACACTTATTTCGATTTAAGTCTAAAACAAAATGATATTGTATTACTGATAAATTATTCCAAATAGTGAACTGAAAATACTATGGCAAATCAAGAAGAAACTATCAAAAAAATGTGACAAAGAAATCAAATTATAGTTACCCGGTTTGCTGTTCATATAACCGGAAATTATTACAATGTTCTGTATGAAAATAGTATCAGGTTATTTCCTTATTTACCCAACGATTTCCTTTGTATACATCTGATTCACAGAAGAAAATCAATGATTCTCTTTTCTATATTTTTTTTGAAAAATTAACTCGACAATAAATTTATCTACAGTGTTAGAAGAGAAAGCTTTATACCAACCATAAATTATAGTTTATGAGCGAGAGAGAACTGGTATTTATCCATATATACTAGGTCAACTGCATCGTTGATACAATAGAGCTTATAAAATTTATCGTGTGACGGTAATCTTCTCAAGGAGCCACGATATATCAAATTCCTACGCTATAAGTATTAAAATTTCTGTGATCTCGTCGGTGGCTCGTTGTCGGATTTACAATGTTACTTCTATCTGATTTTAAAAATATTGAGAGGAAAATATGCATAAAATATTGGCCTCTAGATAATTTTATTATGTTTGTTTTAATATGTTCTTATATTACAACACAGTTTTTCCGAATAGGGAGAAAATAATCTTACAACAGCACCGAAATATTTATTTTTAAACCAAAAATACATAATTAATTTAAATTGATATAAATAGAGGAAAAAACCGACTTGAAACTTTAAAAGTGAGAAATAATACTTATCTTAAAAATATATATATATATATATATATATATATATATATATATATATATATATATATATATATATATATATATTTATGTGAATTGGGATTTGAGAGCAGTGTTCCAACTAAGTCATTTATCCTTTTATCCACCAAAAGATATATCAAGAAGTAGTAAAATTAAACGAAATATCTTCTAACGTGTACGTTCAACTCAATAGGTTTGCTACTCTTGACGAATCAGTAAACCGTCGTCGAAGTATGAATCAATTGGATATGTGCACACAGTAATATATCGTACATGTATTCTAAAGCCGAATGAACACAAAATTAGAACAAAACAAATATAGACAGAAACGAAAACATATTTTATTACCATTCACAACGGAACATACTACAGTGTTCAGAAAAACATTTTCATTTGACAGTGGTTCGCGATGGCCTTAATCGCGGAAAATTTTCAATTTTAACAAATTTCATATATCCTTAATAATACAGACGCATTGCATCTTGAGAAAGGGTTGTTGCAGGGATTTTGAAAACAAATATTGGTCTATTACTGAGTTGGACAGAAGCTCTTAAGCCTGCGGCAAGTTCTCTCGGTAGGCCCATCAGTGGTGGACTCTCGCGCCACGAAGTTCGCCGTAAATACCAATATGGCGCCGGGCGACAGGCTAATGTCACGTCTTGCCAGCTCCCTTCCGAAACAAACTTGACCCTGCCAACAAGTTAATTCTCCATTTTAGTAGATGATAATTGGGTAACCTAGATCATTCATTCTATAAGTAATAAAATCACTGTATTCGAAAACTAATGTTTCTATTTTTTAGTTGGATAAAAGTGAAATTTATGAATATTTGTTATTATTATTATATAACCATTTTTTTTTATACTCGAGGCGGAATACGATAATAGTATAGTGCGCTCGCGTTATTATATATTATGAGCGCTGATGATCTATACGTAGGTATCTATCTATAGGCGCATCTACACAAATAGTGATGAATTCTGAACAAAAGGTGTGCACATTTCATGTTTATGGGGCTATATGAGTGAAAAACAAAAAAAAAAACATGTACAAGAAAGTTTTTATACACATTTTATTGCTAATAGAAAACTCTTTAAACATAATAACACAGCATTCGAATAAAATTATAATTATGAACCATTACAATTTAATAAGACGTATTTCTAATAAACATTACTCCTCCATTGCTTTGGTCATTAACTTTATCAGGTCTTTTGTATTTTTATATATATTATCAAAGTGTAGTTCATCACTTTCTACAACGTACTGCATACAAGTCTCTGATCATACGAATCCTTCATCGTATCGGTGTTAAAAATTTCCACATGTATAATTTTAGAGCCAGCTTTATTACGTTTCGGCTTTTTGATAAACGAATATACAATATTTTCTTTACTTCGTTTTCTTGTAGACACACTCGATCCACTTGCAGGCTTCATGCTATCATTATCACTTTTCTCAAAATAGTTGCGAACTCGTTGTGCGAGTGCTGGCGATGATGATGGTACGGTGAATAGATCATTGGAGTCCTGAAACAATTAATATTATATATAATAGTATTTTTTATTGTCAGGGTAATTTAATAGTGATATATAAAAAAAATAATAAGATTATTTAAATTACGTGTAATACCTAATTGACTTACCTCAAAGTTAAAAGCAGGCGAGTAAGATGTGCTTCTTCCTTGCGCCATAGTGAAAATGTGAAATAATATTTTAAATCAGACTTCTATTTATATACCTTTTCTTTTACGAATCAATAAAATAATCTTTTAACACATGCACATACAGTAAGAAACTTAACACCTGAGCGACTTATAGGCACCACTCGCTCCTTATGCGGATGGTAGAGCGGTCTGCATGTACGAGTAAATATAGTTACCATCTAAAAAAGCCATGCATTTTAATATAACATGTATCTGTCTGTAACGTAAACAAGTACAATCAGCTAAGTCAATATTATTAATGTTGTTTAAACGAAACAGTATTTTATTCATCAATTAAATAGGCATATTTTACCTTAATAATAAATCTTATGAGTTATTACAAAATATAAACTATAAATTTAATTAAAACAAGTAAACCCGTAGCATATAATTTGTATACGAGCAGGTTCAGACTTTAAAGATTGTAAGCTGAATGTTTACATGTACGTCCAAAAATGGAACCGGCGCATCAGGGATTTGCTTTGTTATGATAGCATAACAACTTCTCAAATTTTTCTCAATACCTAATTTAGATTCATTAAAAAATTGTCTACGTTATCATTTTTTATCCTATTTAAACCCCCAGTAGCCATTGGTTGTATTCATTCTGGTCTTAACGAACATTCAGGTGCTTCTAGTTATTCCTCCAAGTGTGATCCTGTACAGTGCAATCTACAACCATTTACTAAAATGTAAGTAATTTTTTATTTAATTACTTTGTTGAATAGTATGTACAATAAATTGATTTAGCATTCTATTGATTTTTTTTAATGATCGACTTCTATAATAGTAAGATGATTTAATAGATATATTTCTTAAATACTTACCCAAAAAATATAGTGATTTTATTTTATTTGTTCACTTTCTTGAATAGAACTACGAGAAATTTAATTATTATGATAATTGCTGAATGATTGAGTGCTATAATAGTGCGGTGATTTAATAGATATGTGTCTTTTTTAATACTTACCAGAAATATAGTGTAAATACTATTCAAATATTTAAATAAAATTAAGTGCCCTAACAATAATATAATACTTCAGTGTACTTATATTAAATTTATTGACTGTTTCAGGAATCCTGGAAAAGCAAATGCAGACGACTTATTTCCCTCTGAAGGAGAAATCACTGATGACACTTCGAAGAAAGCGATCAAGCGAAAGTCATCAGCTTCTGCTAGCACACCCAGAGCTGGTTCATCGAAGAAGCCCAACTTCAAGCCGATCCCCGAGAAGAAGAATACCTGTACGGCTAAGGAGCTTTTCGGGACAGATAGTGAAGATGATGATAATACAGAGCTACTGAGCGGTAAAAATGCACCAATAGTTTCTTATATATCCAGACGCCTAGCGAATGGTCAATCACGGCAGGCTTATGATAGAAAACCAGGCAATTATTTTATCGACTTAAAAGTGTACCGATGTGAGGATATAGAACGAATTCAACCTGTAAACAGGTGGCGTCAGGCTATCATTACAGTGAAGAATCGCACCAACGATGACTCGGAAGCCTGGCGTCATCTATCAAATTTCTTAACCTCTACTCGTAAGGAGTACAGGCAGTGCCCATCCACCTTTATTAGCAACTACTACTAGTTATCAATTACTTATTTTCTGTACATACTTACAAATTATTAACAGTTCAGATCATATAGTAATCAGTTCACAATGTTTATTATAATTATTCCAGGAAAATTATCATAGCGGTTTGTTTATATAATCTCGCAAATTTCTTTCGATAATAAAACCCTTAAAAGTAATATGTATTTGTAGAATTGTATATTGATAAACATACGTAATTATTACATATAACTTAAAAATATAACTGATAAACTTCATAAAGGCACGTTATATAGCACCTAGATATATTTCATGGTACCATAGTTATTTATAGTTTTATATTAATGACACGTGAATTTAAAGTGCCTACATTATTATGTTTAATTTAATATAAGAAACTCTTGATATTAAACTATATTCTTATCATAAACTAGTAAATACTGTCTTATATTAAATTCACTTATTTCAATAAATATATCCTATATTCATAACAATGTTTTTTTTTTTCGTAGGTACAATTCAGTCTCGAAGAAATTTAATGAAATGTCAAAGTTGTCATATTGAAATACCGAAAAATGAATATTATTACCATTTACGAACAAATTTACATAAATCTAATTCATTGATAAAAACCGAATTTGAAAACATTGATATTATAGCATCAGCTTTTAAACAAAGAATTATAACGTATCGATTGAATCCTACTGATCAATATTTGACTCCAGAACATTTTTTATTGAATTACAAGAATGATTTATTGAAGATAATTTATATGTCACTATCAAAGTATAACTGTATAAAATTAAATTTTGAATTATTCGCTCACTTCTTTATGCCTACGTGTGGTGTACAAGAATTAAAGTCATTTAATACCAAATATGAATCTATATATTTGAATTCGGATTTAGATCAAGTTTTCATAAATACATTAAAAAGATTGCAGAACAAACTAACAGAATTCGAGCATCGTGAATCTGGCTGGTCTTGTTACAGTATGAGTCATTTAGAAATAAATATCAACAAGTATAGTCCACTGAGAGGTGGTTCTTATTTACCATTACCAAAAGTCATTCTAAGTACGAAAAGTTGCTTGAATATTAAAAATACAGATAATCATTGTTTCCTATGGAGTATAGTAGCAGCAATGTTTCCTGCGAAAAGTAACGTTTGTAGAACAAAATCTTATCCTCATTATTCAACTGTTTTGAATACATACAACATGATCTTTCCTCCATCATTTCGTGATATAAAAGAGTTTGAAAAAAATAATTCTAACATAAGTATAAATATATATGGCCTTGATGAAAAGAATAATGTTACCGGTCCTCTATATAAAACAAAAAATAAAAAATTAAATCACTTTAATTTACTATATTTTGAAAGGAATAATGTAGGTCATTATTGTTTGATAAAAGATTTGTTAAGACTTGTTAAACGACAATTTACATCTCATAACGGAAAAATGTATATTTGTGAAGAATGCTTACAATTTTTTAAAAGTCAATTAAAATCTGATACCCACGCATGTTCTAAAATATTAACGCTATTACCTCCCAAAAAGAGTATTTTACAGTTTAAACATTATGAAAGAAAGCAAAAGATTAACTTTGTAATTTATGCTGATTTTGAAAGTATTTTATTGAATTATCATGAAAGAAACACAGAAAGCACGCAGATATATAAATTACATGAAGCTTCTTGTTTCGGGTATTACATTTGCTGTAGCTTTGACACATCACTGAATAAATATGTGACGTACAGAGGAAGAAACTGTGTAGAGAAATTTATAGAGTATTTAATAAAAGATATTGAAAATATTAATACTATTTTGTCATATACTTCACCAATGAAGCCTTTAACTAAAGCTGAGAAAATACAGTTTCAAAAAGCAACTACATGTCATATCTGTAATCAATTATCAAAGTGCAAGACCATGATCATATTACCTCACAATACAGAGGCGCAGCGCACTCGCATTGCAATCTCATGTACAGAGTATGTCCATTTGTGCCTGTAATATTTCACAATCTTAGCGGCTATGATAGCCACTTATTTATTAAAGAACTAGCGAAATACGAAGGAAATATCAATATAATCCCAAAATCAAAGGAAAAATATATAACGATAACAAAATTTATAAAGTATAAATCAGCTTTACGTTCAGTTCAAATAAAGTTCATTGACTCTTATCAATTTCTGAGCTCTAGTATTGAAATTCTTTGCAAAAACTTATCTGATAATGACTTCGTAAACTTAACGAGAGAATTTAAAGATAGCTATAAAATAAAGGTTTTGCAACAAAAAGGTGTATATCCTTATGACTATGTAGACTGTTGGTCAAAATATGAGGAAACTAACCTCCCGTCAAAAGAATGCTTTTATAATAGTTTAAAATGTGAACATATAAGTCAATTGGAATATACTCATGCACAAAATGTATGGATTACATTCGGCTTAAAAACTTTAGGCGATTACACAGATTTGTATTTAAAAACTGACGTTTTATTACTCACTGATATATTTGAAAAATTTAGAAATACATGTTTAACGCATTATATGCTTGACCCTGCATATTATGTATCAGCACCTAGTCTTAGTTGGGATGCTATGTTACTTTATACAAGAGTACAACTTGAATTAATTTCCGATTTGGAGATATACGAAATGTTGGAAAGAGGTATTCGCGGTGGATTATCACAGTGTTCCCTTCGACATGCGGTAGCGAATAATAAATATACACCACAATTTGATGTTTTCAAACCATCTTCTTATTTAATATATCTGGATTGTAACAATTTATATGGATTTGCAATGACAAAAAAGTTGCCGATTTCCGATTTCAGACTTCTCACTGTTAATGAAATAGATAAGTTAAATATTTTCGACGTATCTCCCGACTCTATGTATGGTTATATTTTGGAAGTTGATTTAGAATATCCTGATAGCATACATGATAATCATAGTGACTTACCCTTTGCACCCGAGAAATTCATTCCACCAGGGGGCAAAACAAAAAAATTAATAGCTAATTTATATCACAAATATAAGTACGTTATACATTACGTTTATTTAAATGAATGTTTAAAAAATGGTTTAGTATTAAAAAAAATTCATCGTGTGCTTATGTTTAGGCAAGAAACTTTTATGTCTGATTATATTGATCTTAACACTAAATTACGGCAAAATTCAAAATCGGCATTCGAAAAAGATTTTTTCAAACTCTTAAACAACTCTGTTTTTGGAAAAACTATAGAAAACCGTCGAAAACAAGTGAGTGTAAAATTAGTGACAACCTGGTGCGATCAAAATAATAAAACGAACAAACACATGGAGGCACAAAAGTTAATAGCTAAACCAAATTTACGTAGTGTATCTATATTTTCAGAGAATTTTGCAGCTATTCAGCTAAGTCCTGAAAAACTAGTCTTAGATCGCCCCATATACATTGGGTTCACTGTTTTAGAATACGCGAAACAACATTTATATTCTTTTCATTACAACTTTATGAAAAAGAAATATCAGAATAAAGTAAAATTATGTTATACGGATACTGATAGCTTACTTTATCTTATAGAAACTAACGATTTATATGAGGACATGAAAAATGATATTACCACAACATATGATACCAGCAATTTCAAAAAAGATAACCCGTACAAATTACCACAAGTGAATTCAAGAATTCCTGGACTATTTAAAGATGAACTCGGTGGTGACATTATTACTGAGTTTATAGGATTGAGAGCAAAGCTTTATTGTATAAATAGCGTTAGTACCCATATAAATAAAGCCAAAGGAGTTTCAAAAGCTATAACTAAAAGACTTAAATTATCAGATTATAATCGCGCATTAAATAGTAATAAAACATTTAAATGCAAAATAAATACAATAAAATCTATCAAGCATATTTTATATTCGCAGGAAGTCAATAAAGTTGTGTTATGTAGATATGAAGATAAACGACAGATTTTAAATAATCATGTTGACTCGTTACCATGGGGGCATTGCCGCACTATATTCTAATTACATAAATGTAATACTTATACGATTGTATACTACACCTTATTTAAAGTAATTGTGAATTATTCATATCATGTTAATTTATAACTGTATAATAAAATGTATATAATTATTGATTAATTGGTTTCATTTTAATCCGAGTTCTAAAATGTTTGAATCCCAAGACTTCTAATATATTGCGCATAATATGGTATAAAAAGATTGGTAACTTTTTGTTTTTCACCAGACTTGAAAATGAAGTTCATCAAGCAACTCTCCACTTTAGAAATAAATAATATAAAAACAGAAAAAATATATACATAAGTAATCATAGTATACTTCTGCCTGATACTATCCGAGCTATAATATGTGGACCTTCTAATTGTGGGAAAACAAATTTAATGATCAATCTCTTAATACATAAAAACGGGGTGAAATTTAAAAATATTTATTTGTATTCAAAAACGTCTTATCAACCTAAATATATATTTTTAAGACATGTCTTAAAACATGTACCAGAGACAAAGCTTTTTGTTTTTAATAATAGCGAAGAAGTTATTTCACCTAATGATGCATTACAAAAATCAATAATTATTTTTGATGATGTTGCATGCGAAAATCAAATCAACATTCGCAACTTTTTTGCTATGGGGAGACATAAACAAATAGATTGTTTTTACTTATCGCAAACCTATTCTAAAATACCTAAGCAATTAATACGCGATAATGTTAATTTTCTCATATTATTCAAACAAGATGACATTAATTTAAAACACATTTATAATGAACATGTAACGAGTGATATGGAGTGGTTGGAATTCATAAAGCTGTGCACAACAATATGGCAGGACAGATTTAGTTTTTTAACAATTAATAAAGATTGTGCTTTAAGTAAGGGAAGATATAGACAGGGTTTTGATACATTTATCTGCTTATAAAAATGTATATAACAATGATATCCCTAAAAATAAGTTACTTGGTTTTGAATATTAGTAAACAACAGTCGATTATAATGGATACTGAAATCAAAAAGCAACTAATTCAATCAGTAGATAATATAAAAAATAAAATAAAAATAATGCAGAGTGAAGAAGATGCAGCTAATTTAAAATTTAAAAAGGTATTTAAACCTGTCACTGATAACTTAGAGACCATGATTAAAGGTAATGATTCAAATAAACCAACACTAAATGTTTCCATAGACATGAGTAAACATGAAACAATAGATGATCAAGACTTTTCTTTAGATTATGAAAAATTCTGCAAGAACGCACAAAGAGGATCAAGTGAAAGTTCTGATAATTATGATTTTACATGTGAAGAAAAAAATGTAAATGATACACCATCATCGTTACAAAAAGAAGTTACTGACATGTATGATAAAAATATAAATGTACCATTCGGTATACGTAGTGAAAACAAGAATTTAATGATGGGGAATTCCAAAGTATCGTTTTCGTTATCAGACGATGCTTCGAATTCCAATAATATTGTGAGCATTGGTAGTCGCCACTATGAATTAACACCTGGTTTAAAGGAACTTTTAATTCGCAATAAACCTAATCTTAAAGTTATTAACGAAACAGATAAGATAACCTATAAAGACATACTTCATTATACGAGTGCACATAAAAGAAACTATAGCCCCAGTGGTCAAATAAGGGGCGATAAAGGTTTGAAATATCGTCAAATAATAAAACCTTTATTTTCACAACATAATAGCAAGAAAAAAAGATTTTCGATAAACAAAATTAAAAGTGGTGGTTACATACCGAAATACAAGAAATACAAAAGCAACACGGATTACATATTCTGGGACGATCCCAATGAATTAATAGATAGACTAAAATTATTGATTGCATCAAAACAGGCTGGTAATACTAATCATGATAATGAAATTTTGTCAATTATTGAAGAATTAAAAGATGCTGGTGTTATTAAACAATAAATAGCAGAAGACCTAATGTAAATTATTAGTATAAAAAAAAACATTGATCATGACTGTTCATGAGACAAAAATTCAACTTGTGAATCAATCCCGAAATAAATCTTTACATGAACATATTGAACTTATGTCCACGTCAAATAAATCTATATCAACCATCGACTCCAACAAATTCTGTATTGATCAATTCAAAGAGAATATATTAAAGGACATTGCCAATATTAACAACTCTCTCGTAGTTTTAACCAAGAGAATAAAAACACTGGAAAATACTTTTGTTATCAAAGATTTCGCTGGGAAACTAAATAAGCATTATGAGCAAAGCAGATGTTATAAACGAAATCTGTAAAGATGCCAGAATTAATTATCCTAGAAGAAGTGTCATACTGAAAGATATAAACGACCTTTGGCAAGCCGATTTATTAGATATGCAAGCAATGTCGAGAGTAAACAAAGGTTATAAATATATATTAGCAGTTATTGACTGTTTCACAAAATTTGCATGGGCTATTGGACTAAAGAAAAAAGATAAAGAGCATGTATGTAAAGCTTTCCAAAAAATACTGGGAAATGGGCATGTCCCGAAAAATCTGCAGACTGATCATGGAAAAGAGTTTTATAATAATCAATTTAAAAATATAATGAGTAAGTTCAATATAAATCATTATTCTACATATTCTACAAAAAAAGCATCTATTGTTGAAAGATTTATTAGAACCTTAAAAAATAAGTTGTATAAAGAGTTTTACCTAAATGGTAATTTTAAATGGTGTAATGGTGTACTCGATAAAAAAGTAAATGAATACAATAATACTGTACATAGAACTGTCGGTCAACCTCCGGCAACGATTACACATGATAACAAAACAAAAATAATACAAAGATATATAAACCTAAACCATTGTAAAAGAATCAAAAAATGTAAACATTTTCATATTGGTGATCATGTAAGAATAAGCAAACACAAAGCTTGTTTTGATAAGAGTTATACACCCAACTGGTCAACAGAAATATTTAAGATTAATAAAGTGCAAAAAACGAATCCCACTACGTATTTATTAGAAGATTCTAAGTGTCGACCAATACTTGGAGCATTTTATCCTCAAGAACTTCAAAAAACTAAGCATTATGATATATATTTAGTTGAAAAGGTATTGAAGAGAAAAGCAAACTCTGTATACGTTAAATGGTTAGGCCTACCAACAAGCGAAAATAGTTGGATAAGCAAAACGAATGTATTGTAGATATATGTATATTTTTTTTATTCAACAACACTTATTTAAATCAATGTATTTTATTATTCCTTCATTCCATATTAGTTCCTAAAACAGCGAAGACTGTTACAAGAAAAAAACATTATTATTATTTTAAAATTAAAAAAAAAATGAGGGGGATACGAAATACGCAACGTTTCAATAAGTCGCCTGATAAAGAAGTAAGTAACAAAGAAACACGAAATAAAAGTAAAATATCACCTCCCGGAACTTCTTTGAAGAAAACATTTAAGAATATTGTTGCATGTACTAAAAAACATATTTTCAAGAACATAAAACCTAAGTGTAAAAAAGCATTAATGAAATTAGCACATACAACAGCCCGAGAACTAGCATCAGACTCACCTATAAACATACCACGTATTATACCGATACCTAAAACTGGTGGATTTCTACCATTGATACCGATATTTGCTGGCTTATCTGCTGCTGGTAGTTTAGTAGGAGGTGCTGCTGGAATCGCAAAAGCAGTAAATGAATATAAAACAGCCCAGAAACAATTATTGGAGATGAAAAGACATAATCAGCAGCTAGAAGCAGTCTGTATTGGCAAAGGCTTACATCTAAAGCCCTACAAAGATGGATTGGGGATATATATTACCAAGAAAAAAAACTAAATTCTAGGCTACCCAAAAGAGCTTTAACAAATATTGATATTATTAAATACTCGTATAATATTCCTTATTTTAGAGGAGTATTTATGAGAGATGAATTACCATACAAGCCTTATATAACAGAATGTGGTGTTATAAATCTTGATACATCTCAAAAACTCTGGAACTCACTGGGTAGCCTACGCGAAATTGAATGATTATATCGAATATTTCGATAGTTACGGTAATCTAAAACCACCAAAAGAATTATTAATATATTTAGGAAAAAATATAAATTATAACTATGATAATTTACAAAAAAAACATTTATACAATTGCGGGCATTTATGTTTAAAATTTTTAAAGTCGTTCTGGGAGAAAAATAGTTAAAGTTCTAAAATTGAAGTTTTAAAGTTATATAATACTTAACAAATTGTCTCATGCGTATTATATAATGGTTTGTGCTTGATGATACTAGTGCTGAGTATATTCCAATTTGTTACATTTTATTTTTATATTTATTATTATTATCTAAGAAGAAAAGAAAATATGATTGTTTTTAATAAAAGTGTTATTGTAAGGGACAAACATAATATTCCACTCTCCGTGTTGAAAGACGTTAGACGTGCCAGTGTTGTGAAAACGAAACAAATCACGAAAGAAAATAAAATATTTTTGAAAAACCTTGGATTTAAATTAAATTAAAAATGTTGCAAATCACAGATCTGCCTCATCATGATAATTCGATTGAGAGCTATGAAATCCATAGTTACAATCCTTATAGTAACAGCTTTAAAGATAATGATGAAATAAGAATACCTATTCATCAACAAGATGTATATGTACTGCCTTCAGATAGTTCTATTTACATAGAAGGCTATGCACATGTGATTTCTAAAGATCCAGTAGCAAAAAAAGATATTAATTTTATCAACAACCCACTGTCATATTTGTTTCAAGATATACGATATGAATTAAATGGTGTTGAAATTGATCGCGCGAAAAATGCTGGAATTACTACTACAATCAAATCTTTTATATCCATGAATGTAGGTGAAAATAAAGCAGCAGCTGTATGGGGATGGAATGTAAATGGTACTAAACAGAAAGATGGTAATTTTAGTGCTATTATGCCGTTAAATAAAATATTGGGATTTGCTGAAGATTATAATAAAATAATTATAAATTGTAGACATGAGCTGATATTACAGAGAAGTAGTTCTGTTGAAAATAGTGTAGTTTTAGAAAACAACGAAAACGTTGAAATAGTTATACAAAAAGTTCAGTGGCGTGTTCCTCAAATAAAAGTTGCTGATCGTAATAAATTATTATTACTCAAACATTTAGAGAAAGATCGTCCTATCCAGTTAGCGTTTAGAAATTGGGACTTGTACGAATATCCGTTATTACCAAAAACAACAAAGCATTCATGGTCCATCAAAACTGCTTCTCAGCTGGAAAAACCAAGATATGTAATTTTCGGATTACAAACTAACAGAAAATCTAATAAGACTAGAAGTTCATCGATTTTTGACCATTGTAACGTTACTAATTTTAAGTTATTTCTAAATTCCCAATACTTCCCATATGACTCGCTTAATCTAAAATTTGATGAGAGTAAATATAGTATATTATATGAAATGTATGCTAACTTTCGTCAGTCGTATTACAACGCTGGTGTTGATCCATTGCTGGACTTGATTCAATTTAAGGAAAAAGCTCCATTGTTTGTAATAAACTGTTCAAGACAAAACGATTCAATTAAAAGTGGACCTATTGATGTTCGAATAGAAATCGAATGTTCGCAGAATATACCAGAAAACACAACTGCTTATTGCTTGATAATAAATGATCGGCTTTTTGAATACAAACCACTCAGCAACATCGTAAGAAAATTATCATGAATGTGATTGTAGATGTCCAAGGATTTAAGGATGATCAAAACCGGTTTATTCCAAAAGAAATAGCAATCCTGTCAATTAGCAATAGGCATCTCATTGTATTGTTAATAAAACCACCATATGCATTTTATAATTTAACGAAGAAAGAACGTTTGCGAGTAGTCTGGATAGAAAAAAATAGAGGTATTTATTGGAATGAAGGATTTGTACCTTATTATAATTTTAATAAAAATGTGAGTGATTTTTTAAGCAATAAATGTATATTAACTAAAGGGCATGAAAAAGTTTTATGGATCAAAGGTATGTTTAATAATAACAATGTACATAATCTAGAGGATCAAAGTTGTCCAAGTTTAGCAACTTTGTATGATAAATATTCAACTTCTTCAGATATTGTAAGCTGTATATATCATAATAATATATGCGCTTTAAAAAGTGTATTCCTATTAGATAAGTGGTACAGAGAAAATGTTACATCTACTTTGTAAATAAAATACAACAATAAATATGACTTATAATTAACTATGTGTTTTATTTCTTCAAACTTATTGAATTGACTTTTAAACTAAAGACTTAATGAAACTAATCCAAATATTTTATATTCATTCATAAAAGGTAATAGCTAGTGTAACACAGTGTAGGTACTTTTTAATTTCATTTCCTATGAAAAAAATAGCATTTATTGAAAATCAATCATTGTGTTTGATAATTCAGTAGTATTATTCATTAGTAAATACGAAATAGATTATAATTTGAATGCTGTCTGATGATGATTGGGTAACCTGGATCTTTTTTTGATCCAGGTTACCCAATTATCATCTACTCACTTTAATTCAGTTCTACGAGGAATTAAATTCTAATGAGGAATTTGATAGAAATTGCAAGAAATTCGATGGTAGCGCGTTCAACCTATATAATGGGCGATCATTACTGGATGTGCGTCTCACACCTCACAGTGTCATCTATACTAAACTATACATCTATAAAAGAAGATGTCCTAACACACTGACTGACAGACAACGCAAACCCTAAAGCGCTGGCTGTAGAGATTTGAAATTTGTAGCTACATTACTTTTATTATGTGGAGAGTACTGAGATCGGATTTTTGAAAAAGTCCATCCCGAATGAGGTCAATAACGGTGAGAAAGTGTATATGAAACTGCTTTGTTTTTGGACCTATGTATATAGATAAAAATTGGTATTTGGATAGTTTAGGATTCTTGGGTAGTATAGAAAGTAATAGGTTATATTTTATACCAAAAACTAGCACTGGTTAATTAAGGGTTAATTAAGTGCTAGTTTGTTTGCTAGTTTGCTTAATTTTCATCAAAATGGGAGTGAAAGATTTTATGGGGAAATAAATGTTACCATAGCAACCATTGTTTATAATTTAATTTGTCATTGTAAAAACGTATCTAATATTATTTATAAAGATTTTCTTATAATGTTATAAAATTTGGTACGTTTTTGAGTACATAATTGATAACAAAAATAACATTGTAAATATTTTTGAAAATATTCAATTACAACTCATTTTATTTACGAAAATATACCTATTTTGTGCTATAGTAGATATTTTTT